TAAAAGCTCTCATTATGCAGAACCATTTCACAATAATGCATATATGATTGATATTATTTAATTATTGATTGATGTTCCAGCTATTAAAGGTGGGGCTCATTATATACTGCTGTAGCTTGTGAATATTCCCTTGGGGGATATTTTGTATTATTAATCTGAATCCACAAAGTAACTAGTAGCCAAACTAAAGCTATCAAATAAATATAGTGGTGTAAAAAGTAATATTCCAGCCTGAAATGTAATGGAGTTGAAACTCAGGAAGAATAGTTGCAGGGAACAAATGGAGATCATGACAGATTCAGGTCAGAACTTAAGTAAATGAATGTAATTGTTTTAGACCACTGGAAAGTTTCATAACATCTGAATATTTATGAAACTTTTTGTAAAACATATCTGGGGGCAGAGGACCATAATTTACCTGCATTGGAGAAATATCACCCTACTTGGTAAAATGTAGGCAAACAGTCCTGCATGGCAGTCATCCTTTATTTTTTGTTATTTTTATTACCTCCTATATATCACTCTGTCTTTTGTTATTGCTTTTCTTTTGATTTCCCCTTCTTTTTCACATTTTCCCCTCCTCTTTCTTGTGTACAACACATCCAACTAAGCATTTTTTAACATACAATATGAACTGCTTTAAAGGCCTTTTTCCATGACAATATTACAACATCAGGTTTTACCAGATTCCTTGAACAGATTTTTGGGCCAAAAAAGTTGTGAAAAAGTTTTCTAAAAAGTTGAATCATTTCCCTTGGTGTTACTGCTCAGGTTTACAAATGAAAGCCAAGACATTAGCTGAAAGGAAAACTTCACCAAGATGATTTCTCCAGTAACTCCTCAACACTTTTTAGCAAGGAATTTTCAACATAAAAGTTTGAACAATTCTTCTTCTTCTTCTTCAAAGAAAAACAAAACAAAAATGTGTCTTGGACAGGCTGCCACATAGAATACAAATACATGCAACACAACCCCTCATTTCACACTCTTTGTCTTTAGCAGATCCACTGATAGAGGGATGAAAGATTTTTTATTCAGGTTAGACATATTGGCCATTTAACAACACCAAAAGCTTATCTAACTGCAAGTGAAATGCAGGCTTTGTAAGACTTATATCTACTATGTCATTACTGGCCTTACTGTATCGTTTTTACTTTATAACCCAACACTATACACTATATGAATATCTGAGTGTCTTTGAGTGATTGTATTAGTGAGTGATTGACCAAAAATGGTTACTTGTAGCCCACAACAACATCTGTGTCTGCATCACATCACAACATTCAACCACAACACACAAACCTCAGCAGTCATTACACAGACCCTAATGCATGTAAAGCAACAGAAAACAATGTTTTGCAAGACGAATACATGACTACTGTCAAACCGCACCTAATGTTCAAATCACACAGACAAAGAAGCAAGCACATGCATCCAATATAAAACAATGAAAGCACTTAGAAGATCATGTTCAAAGTGATCGTTACATTGAGAGAAGGGGGTTTTAAAATATATTTTTTTAATCCCCAATGTAGCCCTAGACATACAGTACAGTTATGGAAGGCCGGAGAGCTCGTGTGTGTAATCACTTTAATAGTTTGCTGTGTGACATGATCACAAAATAGTTATTTAGTGATTACTGTGTTCCAAGTTCATGAAATAACAGGGTAACACCTTATTTGGATAGTCCGCCTACAGATAGTTTTCATAACGATAAAGAATATTTGTAACATTTTAGCAGCTTTTAAGTTGAGATTCAAAAATTGTTTTCTGATGTTACACCACTGTGGTTAAGTTTTGGTTAGGTTTAAGCAAATAGCACACAGCTTTTTGTATGAAAGTTCGGTGTTTTTCCAATCTAAATAAAGCTCTGATCCTTAATCAGATTTATCCCCACATTCTAAAACTTAAAATAAAAGACCACTGTGTAGCTTATGCTCTCAGATCAGCTATGTGACTACAGTCTCTGTTCCAAGAAAAAAAACCCAGATTTTTCCCTGATTCCAACACAGCCCATTACAGTATATTGTTTAACCACAGGATGGCAGCAGAAGCTCATTTTGTTTGGCATTATGCAGGCCATCTGGTGGTGACGTCCATGATGCCTAAACGGTTAAAGGTAATGACTAATCATATGCAGTATCTCTCACAGGGCCAAGAGAGTGGACCCACTAGGGACACTGACCTGAACATAATCTTGCATTTAATGCAATTATCAAACAGTGTGTTTTTAGGTTGTGTGAAGTACATTTATGTGTCCAGCTGAAGTAGAAAAATGTTTTAAATCAGCTGTTCAGCATGTCTTTTGCCTTAATGTCATCTGCCATGCCCTAGTGGCCTTCAAAAGCAGAATCAGTCAGATCAAATATTTCTGCCTTTTCTGCTTATGAATGTGCTCACAGGCCTTTTCCACTTCTGTCTGTGGGCTGTTCAGTGAATTTAATGGTGTTTCCATCAACATAACATAATGCAGACATGCCATACTAAGTCAAAATAGATGTCAGAGATTAGTATTCTCAGTTAACGGTAGTGGTGGAAGCAAGTAGTAGTACCACAGTGTAAATCTACTATCTAAAGTACAGAAGCATTAAGTATTGTATTGCTATTTTATATTATTCTATATACTGTATGCATTGAGTTATTGGATTATTATCATTAATGCATTCACGTTTAAGCAGCATTTTAATGTTGCACCTGTTAGAGGCAGAGCTAATATTAACTATTTTATATCCTTTTGGATAATTTACACTATAAAAATGCATCATATCTTATATGTTGATTGTATATTTTGTATATGAAATCTTGACCTGAGCTAACTAGTAACTGCAACATTAATGTAGTGTAGTAAAAACTTACAATATTTCCCTCTGAAATGTGGTGCAGTAAAGTAATATAGTGGCAGTAAATGAAAAGTAAAGTACAAGTACCTAAAAACCGTACTTGAATACAATACCTGAGTAATGTAATTACTTTCCACTAATGGTAAAAAGGCATACATGGTTCTGAAAGTTCAAAAGCGGTTGATATAAATCCCGTTGATCCATCGGTTTCCCAGGTGTTTGTGGTCACACATGGATATTCAAGACTAATTAGGTCAGTTTCCTTCTTTGAAATGTGACGTCTTGCCCGGTAGTTTCAGAAACTGTCAGGCTTCCAGGTTTCAGGAACTGATTTCTATAAGATGGCATGCTGATATAGTAGACTAACATATATGGTGCAGTAATAATGCAGAATCCTGATCAGTTTTGTGCACAGAGGTTAGAATTTTGACATAATGCTTCATAACAGCAGGTTATTTTCAACAACATTGTTAGTTTTGTACAAATACAGTCATCACACAGTCATTCTACGCCGTCATCCCAGAAGTTCTCTGCATGTATAAAAGTGAATATGATTTATTTTCCGTCTTTATTTCAAAAGATGATCAGATGAAAATTGTGACAACAATAATTAATATTCAGTGGACATAACTTTTCCAAATGTACACTTTATTTTAAACAAAAGTACAAAAACAAACATCAGGTATTTACAATACTTGCATGGCAATGTTCACTTTCTTTGGTCATTCTTCCAATTGGACTATTTTAAACAAGGTAGGCAACAAACAGCAGCTTGGAGGTCTGAGATTATTACATGCTGAATCTATATTCAACCAGATGCTGAGCAACCTACTGATGACTCAGAACTTAATTACATTTTTGTAAAGTCTGCAAGCAATTTTATCAACGACTTAAATCCAAGTTATGAATTATGCAACAATTATTGAATTTGCCTGCCAGGTTTATCTTGTACAATATAAATAGCAAAAAGAAAATTAAAACCACATACTTCACAATTACATCCTGGTCTTGATATATGTTCAAATTTAGCAAATGCTCTCAAAGGACCAAAATTGTGACATGTACAGCTGCATGTATTCCACTGTATTCTACACAAATGTGACATGAAAACATGAATCCTAGTGCACATCACAAACTGAAGCAATTACAGGTAGATTTTCAAAAGAAGGCAAACATATCATAACGGCTACTTTGAGGCAAACATTGTGTCCCCGCTGTGTTTTCGAGTACAAAATGATTCCATAGCTACACAATTAACAATCATACCTCAACACTGATGGAGCAAAAATTGAGAATTCGCTTACAGCCTTGACAGATTAAACAACAAGAAAAAAAAAACCTTTTAGGCTCAAGGACTTTTTCTTGAATTAAACGAAAGCAAACAATGGCTTTGTGTAAAACAATCTGCACGGCCAAACCAAAGCCAGTAAAAATGAGTTGAGTTACGCTATACATTCTCTCAATAATCTACCTGCCTGTGTCGTACAGTGGTTATGTTAAATGTACAGTACATCTGAAAAAAGAGACTGGCAAAATGAACTGAGTTTCTGTCATGTTCTCTCCCGCTTACACATCAAGAACAGAAAATTAAAAAAATCATGTACGACCAAAGAACTCTGGCACATCACCTTCCTGCAATGCAACATAACACAAATCATATTATCATCTACAACTAATGCCGAGTATGACAATATACCCTTAGCCCTTTCAGGAAGTTCATCTCAATTTCAACATCTTTTTACGGCTGAATGAATAAACTGAAACAAATGCACAAATAAACAGATTTAGTACTACGATGTTGAAGGCAGAGGTTGTTTTGACTGTGATGACATGAAACTAAGAAGCGATGGCGGTGTTGTCCCTCGTTTCCTGCTGTTTCTGAGGGCCAAAGAGTCAAAACACAGACTAATGCAGGCCTACACGTCCTTACACCAAAGGCAACTGGTCTAGTAGTAATTTTACTTGAATCAACTAACAAAACCAAAATGAATTTGCATTTTCTCAGGTTTTCCCAAATTCCATTCTAACAAACATGAATCCTAATAGTAGACAAGTTTACACATGTATCAGTAGTGCAGACAAGTTATGTATATCACATACAGTATCCATTCATTTTTTTTTTTTTAG